CCTGACGAGTCACCGCTATTTGAAGTGTGTTCCCGTATTGCCCCAAAGACCGAGCCCTCTGTGAAAAGGACCAGTCAAACACATACCAAAAGCATGGTCCAAGCATGATTGTGCATTATAAGACAATACTTTTTTATTGTAAAGAAGGTGGACGTAACGAACCCAACAGATCTGTTTCTGCATTTTTAATGGGTTATTGCTGTGCACGAGCCACCTTGAGATAAACATCCCAGCAAAGATAACTTATTTTATCTTCACTGCGATGTAACATAACGATGGCTTTATCTGGCAAAGCTCTTCGCAGTGGGGAAAAAAGGATCTTCCCCAGCAAGGTATTTATTATCCCAAATTATAGGATATATTTCTGGTGCAATTTTACTGCTTTTATTTTCTCATTTCTCATTGTAGTCACTTTCTCTGGGGGAAAATACCTGCCTGCGCTGCCCGAAAGGGAGCACTGTAATTGAAAAATGGGCAGCGTTGGCCCCTTGATGATTAAAGTTAACCTTTTCCCAGCGCAACTGCGCTAGCATGGATGGTTGTGTGAAGCAGATGGATTTGCCAACTTTTTGGGCTGAAGTTTAATCTTGGATATTTTTGCTTTTCTCTACTTTTGCCAGAAACAGCAAATGCTCATGGGACTGGATCTACGTCAGGTTGTGGTCCTGCAGTTGGAATGAAGCCTTGGATTTACACTTGGAGCCGGTTTTCATAGCTGCAGCTACTAGAGAAACCAGACCCAGTCTTCTGCGAAGCACAGAAATACAGGCTGAATATGAGGAGTTGATTTAATTCCTTATCCATTCATTACATACTAAATCATGCTGGGAGTGAGGAATGGAGGACGATGCATCACCTGCTTTGAAGGACCACGTAGTGCCCATGGAGAGCACAGCACCTGGGCATGGTTGGGGAAGGCAGAGTACAAACACCCATCTCATCCAGAGACAAAGTGCAGTATCTTGTGGCGCTAACGGCCACATTTTATCTCAGCAGAAAATAAATTTTGTTGCTAAAATCGGAGTATTTGGGCAATTTGGGACGTGGACTGCTAGCACAAAAACTCACTTTAAGAAACACTACAGTACTGACAGCGACCATCTCAAGCAATGGTGCAGACCAACTGTATCTAAGGGTTTTCAAATGAAACCTAACGCAAACTGCATCCACAGGGAGAGGTGCGCAGGGTCCGGCCAGGCATGAGCTTTTGGTCCCCCCTGGGAGAACATGTGGAGGAGCAGCCACCCGCTTTCCTTGCAGGTGGCTCCAGGAAACACGGGGCACGCTGGCAAACATTAGCTAAGAAAACATGTTTTGGGCTGACATCTGGCTCTGGATACAGTGCCTAAATATCAATATCTTTCATGACTGCTTCACAGCAGGGAAAAATGAAATTCATCTTTTTTGTCGCACAATAATGAAACTCAATTTCTACAGGACTCTGGGGAAGAGGGGCCATCCATTAAAGAAATAACTATTGACTACAATACAAAACCACCACCAGAATCTCCTAGCAGGCTTTAGCTACCTGGCACACCAGAGTTAAATGCCAAAGTGCCTTTAAATATCCTAAACTTGTATTTGTAGAGAGTAGTCACTGGCCACCCCAGATGTTTAGAGATACTATAAATCGAAGGAATAGGATTAACATCCAATAAAGCTTCAGCGGGAAAAAACATTCTTGCACAAAATTAACCCAGCCTTAGCTAGTCAAGAATGCCACTTTTTAAACTAAGGGATTTAAAGATTATGAGAGGATTTGTACCCATCTGCCACTTTTGTCCTGCTTTCATTTTATAAAGCTTCCTTAGTCAAACTTCACTAAAAATCTTGTCAACATTCGACTATTTTTAGATTAATTCATTTTATTTGGTAGCTCGATACACTGATTTCCTAAAGGGAAAGATTTACAAAAAGAGGCATTAGGATGTTGAGTCCATCGAAGCTGCACGTTATTAATATTGCATGCTGCTAGAAAGGCCAAATTAACATCCAAAATTGTACCAGAAGCCCAAGCCATTTTAGTGCAGTTCTGTTTTATTCTGGAAAATGGATGCAGCTGAATTCTACCTGCTTTGGGAGATATCCCTGGGGAAAGGAGAGTTAGTTGGGGGTGAGCACTCTGCGAACCTCCAGAAAATGGCCCTTCCAAGAGGGATGGGAAAGGTTTCCTGGATGGAAAAGGTCTCTCTCTTGCCGTGGAAGTGCTACCCTGCATGCAGCACCCTGTTACAGTTGGCTACTGACCCCTTGTATCATGTACCTTAAACATTTAACTTTCTAGTTTCCCTGGCCGACATGTAGCAGAACTCCAACTGCTCGTGATTACAGAAATTAAACCCTTGACAGTGCTCTCCGGGATGGGTTTTGTTGATGTCCCACATAGTCTCCTGCCAGACAAAGTTGTATTTTCCCCTTACATCACAATCGCTTTTATTTTCACCATTTTGATTTTTAAAGAGTGCTTTCTTCATTTTGTATGTACCACCAGCAGCTTGATCTTCTCATTAAATTGACTTTGGTATGGAAAATAATAAAAGAAAAATGTCACCAACACAACTGCTCGAGCGCTGAATAGCTGGAGTGCTTGGGATCACGAACACCTGCTGCAATTATATTTAACTGCCCATCTTCTGTGCTTTGCTCACAATCAGATCTTACTTCAAGAGCAGCTAGCACCATTTCTGCTTTTGTAGTAAACAAGTAACATGATTAGAATGATGAGTGGGCTCCATCTCCGTGTTTTAATCTCTAAAGGTGTCTCTACCTGATTGGGAAGCTGAAATTCTGGCTTTTTATTTACAGCAAGCTGTGCTCTGTCTCCTTTCTGAATGTGTGTATATGCTGGGACTTTTCTAAACTAGTTATTTATGTAGCTTCTCATTTCCACTTGATTGTTTTCTTGCATGATATAAATCCCCAAATGTGTGTTTCCGGCAGTTTCAATCTTTATTTTCTCTGTACAAACATGCTGTTTTCAATAAAGGAAAATGCTTGTTTTTTCTTCTGACAGGAGTCCGTAAGTTCCTCCACTGCATTTTTTCCTTCCTAACAAACTTCTATCAACCAAAATGACTGGAGAGATGAAGTGACCAAACCAGGGGAAAAGATTTACATGATTCATTGGACTGGTAAATTCTGCGTTAAAAAAGATAAACAGAAGCAACAGAAAGCAACAACCTTCGAAGCTTACTTTTTACGCATCATTAAAAACAGGCCATGTGTGCTTAAACAAATATCCCGCACCCTCATTTTAACTCTGTTGTCCTTAGAGAACTCATATGACCCAGAGGTCCTTAAGTATGTGACGTGTAGTCTGCAAATGGCACTGTACAGAGCTCAAGAGCATTTGAGATCAAAGAAGTTTAAGAGAATCAGGCTTATTTATTGGGTGAGCACATGAATATAATTGATAAAGTAATAGAGCATTGTAATTACTTGAAGTTACTAAAGCTCACAGCCCTGTAAGTACCTAGAACGCACACTCTGCAAATGGCATTTTGAGTTGCTTGAGCGCCTTCGTGATCAAAGTAGCTTAAGAGAATCGCATTGCTAGTGAGTGGGAGTCTGAGTAGGAGTCTGAACAAAGTTGATAAGTAGTTTGAGCATTTTAAGTACTTCAGGGCACTGCAGCGTGAGTACAAAAGTAACAGGACAAAATAACACCAGCTTGTCAGCGCTTGGTTCTCCAGAGCTGGACTAGGGATGAGAAACTCAGAAGATACATCCACCATCTAAACAGGATGAAAAACCCAGTTATGAGTTCCAGGCTTCTGCCTAAAACAGCTGGAAGGAAAACCTGGAGCTGAGCTCAGCACAGTTCCCCAAGGGCACCACCATGCCAGGTACAGTCAGGGGAATAACAGAACAAGAAAGTGCCACCAGGGATTAAGAAAAACCCAGAAATGGGGACATACTAAGTATAAACTCTCTTTTTGTACTACAAGGCTGCCCGAGGCTGGTTGGTAGGGCTGCGGATGAAAGGAGATGGTGTGTTGCAGCTCTCAGCCATGAGTGGTTAAAGTGGGGAAACAGAGAGCAGCATCTTTCAGATAAAGCTAAGAAATGAAGGATACCGAGAGATGTGCTACTGGGGAGAGCACAGTGAGCCAGGCATGCACACACCTGGAGTGCAAACACATGGCTCGTCTGTACAGACCTCCATACGCACTTGCCAGTCCACTCGCTGCCGTGAATACTAATTCAGCAGTAAAATAATGAAATGTTCTTTTTGTTTGATTATTTCTTTGCAAGGTATCTAAACACCGAGAAACTTGGTTAAGAATGAGGGGAGTAAGCATATAGCAGATATTAGTGGCTATTTTGGAAGATAGCAAAAAACATCAACAGCATCTCTTTTTTTCTCTGTAACTGTAAAGAAGACCATGCATCAGGGCAACTCTGTGAAGGATCCAAAAGCGGGAAGACATTTCTAACTACTTTGAAACAAAATGCTAGTAAAAAGTATTAGCTATAACTAAGAAAACCTCCAAATTATTAAGACGTAAATATAAAACCTGAAAACTCCTGTAACTGCACTGTTAAAATGCCTCCAACACTCTACAAATCATCTGGTTTTGGCTATCCGCATGCATCATGTCACATTTAAAAATCAGATTCTGTTACTATCCAGTACACTCTTAGCTAAGTGAGCCCCAAAAATAAGTTAGCAGTGAGGGAGAAACCAGCAGAAACCAGGTCGCACCACTTGCAGAGACAATAGAGAAGCACAGCTAGATCAATCAACATCAGTGCATTACAAAAGACAAAGCGCTGTTAGAAAAATAACTGTCCTTTCAGCTAGTTAGTATTCAATCACTGAAGTGGAAAATTTTCTACCTCAACTTGATTTTAGGAGAAAGAAATGTTTCACTGAGTCACCTCATACCTTTGAGGACAAAGTTCAATTTGCCAGCACAAGCACCAGCATTCAGGAGAAAGACTGAAAGTGAGCGATTTTTCTCCAGTAAAATGTAACTTAGAAAGAAACACAAATATACCTGCTTCATCATAGGATACAGTCAGTTTTTCCAGCATTTCTCGATCAATTGATAAAATCTGCTGTTCCAGGATGGTTTGGTAAGACAGCACACTGTTCTCCTTGTCCTTCTCATAGTCTTGAAGATGTTGTTTTAGGACTTCAGGCAGGCGGGACTTCACATATTCTGCGGCCGACTATGTAGAAAAGAGGCAAAGGTTTAATTAATACATTTTCTTTTGAAAAGCTTTACGCATATCCATAGCAATTTTTTTTTAAAACTTAAGGCATTCTCAAATGTAACTCCTCACAATAAAACACTCTTAATGCTACTAACTCCGTGGTGCAAAATCCACACGTCATTTCTCTGCCCAAATGACCCCTGCCTGCCCAAAACTTCCAGGGAGTCAGGGATATAATGGACCAAATTTCCGTGAGCTGAGGCATAACCCATTCTTAAGCAGGGAGTTTACTGCAGTGCAGAGTTACCCATGCTGGACTAGACACACACAAACCGCAATAGCTCAACTTCTTCATCATTAACATATTTTGAAACTATGAAATACATTGTCTGTATTCTACATTTTAAAGTACAAAGTGACAGAGTGGAATCACTTCACCTGCTATTGATACACAACCAGGCTCGGACAGGGAGATAGAAGTGAATGTTTAACAGCATTAAAAAATGACATATATATACACACACAACCACACACAGAAAATTCTTTCAAAATTTTCTCTGACTGCTCAAAGGCCATAAGGAAACAGAAATTAACACAAGGTGGCATGGTTGTACCGATGTTATGGAGCCTTGTGCAAAAACGTAAATGATAGTAAATAATAAGAGCATCTGCCTCTGGAGAGGTGTTGGTCCCCCCAGGATCCCTGCCGCCACTGGAACAGCTCTCTCTCCTGGGGCTTGGGCTCAGACACCTTGGTGAGATCCAAACACAAACCAGCTTTCTGCTTTTTAAGCGTTAGCATCCCTCTCCTGTGAATATTACACTCCCACTATAAGAGGGAATAAAAAGTCCCTCTTTCTGGCATGGGTTTGGGGGTTTTTTTTGGCTTTCCATCTCTGATACAAACGTAACTGGAAAAGGAAGATGTAGCAAAGGCTCCTGCCCAGTGCTCCAGCTTTCCTGCCAACCTCAAGACAAAAGAGAAAAATAAATGATAACAAGATTGTATTATTTCAGGCCTGGAACTGACCAGAAGTTACCTCTACTGAGCAACAGGCTCTTCCTGGGTTTATATTTAGTTTTCCAAAGTCAATTGCCAATTAAATTGCAACCTTAAAATATCACTGAAGTTGTGTTCAATTTTTCTGCAAGCTAAGCCATGTGAGATGAATGAAATTATTCTAGGAAAACTAAACAAACTCTCCACATGAGAACAGCATATTTAATGTTACATTTTAATAGTGGTTTTCTTCCAAGGGAAGGTCAAAAGATACACTGTATACTAATAATTTTAGTCCAAGTTCAGGCATTTGTGTTTAATGTTTCCTTTGAGAAGAGGTTTTGCTCTGCGGGGGCGGGGTGTGTATTTTTGTAATCTCCCTAACACAGCAATTCTAAAGAGCAGAAAACAAAAGAAGAATTTATACATATTCATTTTCTGAAATACGTCTTGTGCCAGCCAAGAGAATATTTGTATACCACTGGCTGTAAACACATAAGGAAAAATACCCATCCTGTCCCACAGATCTTGCAGCCCAAGTAAAAGTCAAGAGACAGATGGGTACAAGCAGATGGGAAGACCATCGGGACCATCAGCCATGGTCGGCATGACGGACGGCTGTTGCAAGCCATGTGCAGTCCAATGGTCAAGTTTTTCCATAGGCATTGAGGCTGAGGATTGCACTGATTTCCAGTGTGATCTCACTGGTGGGTTTTTTTCCCCTTGGTGAGAAGCAAAACCCAACCCTCTTGCATAGTCCACTGCCTTTCACATTACGTCTAGATGTCATTAAAGATTTAAACCGTAAAGCAATGATGGAACCGGTACAAACTCCTCTCCTTTCTAGAAAAGAAAGGTGATCAGCCACATCTGAGTAATTACATCCCTAGCTGCACTGTGGCGATGAGACAGATAGTACTATATTCTATTCACTACAAAAGTAATTTTATCTTGGCTTTAAAAAGTCACTTCCCGTACCTGGAATATTAAAAAAGTGTGAGGGTGAGAGTACATGTGTTTATGCATGTGCTTGGTATTAAAGAAACCAAGAGGCTACTGGGTGAACAAAAATGAAAAAAAAATTTTTAAGAAGAAATACTTCCACCGTTTCCACACTCTTCCATCTTACCTCGATTCTCATTGCACAGACCACAGTATTCAACTTCTGAGTAGATCAGAAACTCCCCCTCCATTGCTTACAGATTTTGGTACAGACTGCAGCCCAGAGACCCGTTTGCCGGGATGCCGCTCACTAGCAGCCTGCCGCAGAGCATCCCACCACCGGCATCCCATCCCTCCAGCACCTCGGCCGCTCCTCCTCCAGCCAGCGCTGGGGTCCCCCTGCTCTCAGGAAATCTATTTTCATTAATATATGTATTTGTGTCACAGGCAGAAGTTAGGAGAAAAAACCCATTTCGCTACTTTGAGGCTTCAAAACAGCTTTATCGTCTTTTCCTCTGTATGGTCCCTCTTAATCCTGCAGGAAGGAATTACAAACCTAGCTGCTCCTGGAAAACGCCTGGCCCTCAGCCATTAGTTATAGGTACAACTAATTGTACAAGATTTGCTGGTCAGTCTTCCTCACCACCACCCCTATGAGAAAGCAACTTGGAGCCATAGGCGCTGCAGCAGTGAGGAATGCAAAGAAACGGTGGTCCTGCTCATGCAGGCACCTTCCACAGATCACTGCTTCAAAACAACAGCGTAACAGAAATGCACACTGCTGAACTGTTACCTCTCTCATTCACAATAACCTCCTATTTTCTGGCAGGAATGTATCCATTTCTTTTATAAAATTGAAACTGCAGCATCCCCCGTGAATCTGTTTTCAGTCTGAAGCACCCTTCTCCAAATTAAATAAAGGATTGATTTTAATAACTTAATTGACTTTAGGGTATTTCATCCTACCACGGAAAACTAATATTTCATATATATAGAATAAATTTTAAAATATCTACATACAATGAAATATACTTGCAGAGCTTATTCACAAAAAAACACATTCTTCTCCATTCGCTAAAAAAAAACCCTACATAAAAATCACATCAGGAAATGCTGAAATCCCTCAACTGTGTGGTAACCTGAACCTCAAATGCAGCCAGCATCCTTCTGTTAACTACCAAATTTGCCCACGTTTTCATTGATGAGAAACACATACCCAAAGTAAATTTTCTTTTTATAAATTATGCTAACTGCCTGCTAAAATTTGCTCTGCTTTTCTTAATTGTATCCTTCTGGGAGCTCCCTTGTATGTGGGGAAGTAAAGGTCTAAAATGGTTAATTAAAGGCTTCTTTATGAAGCTACTTCAAAAGTCAAGTGGCGGCTTGACAAAGCAGTCTCCTTACAGAGTTATATTGTGTGATTTCAGACAGGCTTTCAACAGACAGTGGAGTATTTGGCGTGTGGAAGACCACCACACCCATAAGGGACAGTTGCATCCCTGCTCATCCTAATCATGTTCTGCAGGCTGCTACAGCTCAACTCATCCCATAGCCTGGCCTTACCAACCCGCTTGACCTTTAAAATTCAGGTTTTCACCAAAGCAAACACAGTGCCCTTGTGTATTTCTGGCACTTGAAACACTCAGGCAGGTCTCGTTAAATTGTGTTATCATCGGATGAACACCGGGCGGTGGAAAACCTTCTCCAAGTGGTGATGCCTTGGGAATCTGCTTGCTGTTTGCCCTGCAGTGGGCTTTGGTAGGAGGAGCAGGACGGCAGAGCATCAGGGCCAGCTCCCGAATTACGTGGCTCTCCACGCAAATGCTTGCACACAGAGAAGATACACCTCCATGGGCACACGTGTAAACATGCAAGAAGTGACCCGAGTACTCTATGACAAAATGCGTTAATTAAGACGGCAAGTGTTAAGCAGCTCCATGACCCTGTGAAAAACGAGGACTGCAAACAAGAGCTATGACAAGATCAGCACACTGGCACATCAAGCAACTGAAGGATCTAATTAGCTGGAACAGCCATTATTTATAAACACAGATTTCCAATTTAAAAAATGGAAGATGGAGACTTTATTGCCTCAGTCCTGCACTCCGCACCGACTCCTGTGATTTACAGGGAGAGGAGGGAAACCACAAATTTATGATCTTAATATTCTTGAGAGAATTCATTCTGCCTGCCCAGCTATTGCAAACGTCCAAAGACTGTGGGAAAATACAGGATCCATTTTAGAGTGTGGTATTGCTGGCGTAGCAGGTACACCACTGAAGGATTTAAAAAACCATCAAGATTCCTCTATCGCATCTTGCTGCCTCTCCTTTTCACACATTTCCCTCCCCTTCAAAGACATGTGGGTCACTACAACAAGTTTCCTTCTTCAGAGATGATACACCATGAACTGCTGGGTAAGAATGGAGTTCACCTTATGAAAAAAGAGAAATTTCAACTTTGTTCACCTCCCGGTTTACCTCAGGGAAATAATTTTTTATTTCAAGTGAGTTTGACAAATAAAAGCCTGAGGTGGGTACAACAAACGAACACGGGTGTAAACCCTGTGGAAGGTAGTGCTGGCCATGATAATCTCATAGGAAGGAAACATAACGCAGAGTAAAGTGGGATTGATCTGTGGACCCTATTAGACATCTCTGTAAGAATTGTGGAGAATACACAAAAGGAGCTGGAAGGAAATCAGTACAGTATCAAAACGACTATAATTGGGCAATAAGAGAGGCTCAGTAAATAATTCACAAGACTAGATTGTTAATACAGATGATATAACTTACTGAGAAAGGAGGCTATGGAAATAAAGAAGTGCCCTCCACATCAAGGGAGTATTTGCTCTTCTAGGTCCAGTCTGTAAAAGGGAGACAGACCTGCCAAAAGTCATCACGTAAAAAAGAGAAGCAGAGAGCGCTACCATAGCACAGGTCCACCAGACACCGAATGAAAAACAAAGTAGAGAGGTTGGATTTTTTTAACCAGGAACTGGGATAATCAACCAAAGCACAAGATGTAAAGAAGTACTGCAACTACTCAGATATGTTATAGGAAATATATTTCA